AACAACTCTCCATAAGCCCTTACACGGCTACGTGAGTTCGAATAGAGAACTTTGACTGGCATTACATGCTGATTCGGTACTCCCTCCACTGTCAGACACTGGCACAACACTTCACAGTCGACGCAGTCAAATGTTGCCTTCAGGTCAAGAGATATGGCATGTGTCTGCCAATGGTATGTTTATGTTCCAGGACCCGTCGAAGAGGGGAAAATCTGACCAATGCAGCCAATGAAGGTAACTGGGGGAATTTCATCAGATTTTCACCCCTGATTGCTTCAAATGTTACAAAACTCGTCTACGAACTTTATCATCAATTTTATTTCAAAATGTTACAAAAGGAATTATTCACTAACAAAAATCAAATGAAGTTAAATTAACGGATGATGTATTCATATCCGTACATACCAGTTTGTGGGTATTCAAAGACATATTTGCAAATAATAGATAACCAAATGAGTATCTCACATTAAGTTAAACAAAGTTAAAATCATAGATAAATAAAAATGAACATATTGATATCAAGTGAAATTCAAGAAAAATACACAAAAAAATAATTATCATTCCTTTATTATTGTACAAAGTGAAGTCGATGTCAACGTTCTGGTTTCAATCAAATAGTGGAAATCAAAATGTCGACTGGAGGATAAAAGTTAAATCAGTTTGTTTGAATATCGGACATTGAATATTGAACACGTGAACAATTTGACAAATTTCTATGAAATTATAAACAAGTATACAAACAAATATAGTTATTACTTATGAAATTCAATTCTGTTGATAAAATAAATCTATCAAAATTTATTTTATTTATTTTGTTAGAGAAACTGTTATAACATTCACGTTGTTGAGTAGGTTCTATACGACAATCTGTTAGAGGGCAACCTCCTTCAGATGTCTAGGATTTATTTTCATAATAGTGGATAAGTTGTATCTTTGGTTTTAGGTATAATTACCTTACTCATATGGTATAAGTATCCCTTCGGCTTCAGATATTTTTTACATGAAATTCATAGTTACGATAGAACTTACATAGACAGTCTTAATTCTATTCTGTTATAATATTATTATTATTATTTGTCCCTTGGGTTCCTAATGGAACATAGGGCTTCACCAGCACGTCTCCAGTTCACTCTGTTCTCTGAAATCTTTTGGATCTAATTCCACCACTGTCTAGAAACTCTCATTTCTTCCTCACATGATCTCCTCCATGTTTATTCTCGCCCCGAACGCCCAACTGACCGTTTCCCCTATGGATTCCACTCGAGGGCTTGGCCTGGCGCATGATGTCTCCAATCGTCCTTCTCAGTGTATGCTCAATCCAATCCATCTCCACTTTCTTTTACTGCATATTTGTTGAGTGATAGGTTCTTGGTTGGTTCGTTGCGATTCAGCCACAGTTCCTTGTTGCTGATTCTTATTATTCTGGCCATCTGAGCTTCAGTAACGAGCCAGCGTAGACAGTTGTTGATGAATGTCTGCAGATTGTTGGAAATGCTTTCCGTGACACGCCAAGTCTCTCAAACATATAGCAGCACTGACTTGACATTGGTGTTGAAAAGCTGGATGTTGTTCACGCTTTATGCTGAGCGGAGTGGAGTAGAGTAGATCTCCACACTGATTTCAGACTAATGAAGGAAGGCCTGTTTTGCTGTCTTTCCGGTCCCGGTTTTGACATCCTCGTCTGTACCGCCACCTGTATTTGAAACGATGCTGCCTTGCCTAGGTAGGTGTAGGTGAAAGAGACCACTTCCTTTAGGTTTCTTCCCTGATTGGAGCTTGTTTTTGGTTGGGTATCATCATTACCTCGGTTTTCTCTATGTTCACTTGAAGTCCCGTCTTCGCTGCCTCACCTCTTTTGTCAACTTGTTAGTTCTTGCTTGTAGACCTTCAAGTTTGTGCGACATTAGACATAAGTCATCGGCGAAATCCAAATCTTCTAGGATCTTCTCCCCGGTCTGAATTCTACAGAAGTCTTTCCTACGCTTTGATATTTGCTGATTAACCAACTAAATGTAAATTCGGTATTCAGCTCAAATTTACGTCAACTTGTTAAGTAGAGATAATGTTCGAAATATCTTTGTGAATTACTAAGTGAATTCCACGTCAGCCGGCTTTTTACAGTGGGGTCAACGCTGAGAAGCCTAACAACCAGTTAATTTCATGCTTATTGAGACTCTCTTACAGGATGAGAATCTGCTCATAGTTTAACAGAATGGAAGTATAAATCGAAGGCTCTTTCTTTCTGCCGTCCCTTATTAATATTTGTGGACATTCATCTATTGAATTAAGCCTCCTAAGCCTTATTAGCCTAGCGGATAACGCTTATCGAGTTTAAATAGATTAGCTTGGAGTTCGAGTCTCAGTGAGTACACCGTCATTCACTGGGATCCAGGTACATCTAGTTGAAAAGTCACAAATTGGATGACATATGAGTCTTGAACTCAACTACCAGTCACCACCGAAGTATTTAATCTATCTTATAGGTTAATTACTTTGTCCGTTGCTTCAAACAAGCTGGCTTTTCATAATTTTATTTCATTGTTTCATTGGTGCTATTTTTCTGAACCTCAACAAAGGTATTCTAATTGCTAATTAGGATGAGAAACCTCTGTGTATATTTGAAATGCTGGTTGAATGAATGTGTGAAAAATATTTTTCGAAGAAGTAGACTCCAGTTCTCAAATCCAACTGCTTACTAGTGAGCAGTCAATTAGTCAGTCACTTAGTGTCAGCAACAGGACCTGATATCACTGCATAACTGTCCAAGTTGCCGCACCTTTCATCAGCACATCAAAATACAAGACGGCAAAATGAAAAATAGAGAAAAGGAAGAATATAAAGAAGAATGTAAAGTGGGATAAACACAATGAAATGTGGCATGATGATGATCTTAGTAGACGGGTCCATCTGCCCTCCTCAGATCCATTGTATGCCATATCAGCCAGAATTCTAAACTGTCGTCCTCAGTTGTCATGTGAACTTCAGTTGATGAGTTTACGAAACTCTATACAACTGAGAACAACAGCTGAACACCATATGAATAGACGTCATGCTTAGTTTAGTCACCTTAAACGTCTAGCAACCGTAAACCCACTCCAGTTAATACCCCTAATTGGTGTCAAAGATGGTTGGGTGTGCATAACACATGTCTTAGCCATCTGAATAGATAGAGGTTGGCAACCTCATCAGTTGACTTACCTCTTTTACTTCAGAAGCTAGGCGAACGTCTACACAACATGCACATAATACTGTCCATGGTCAAATTCCTGATGCTTTCTGATGTCCTGCATGTATGATAGCCCTATTTCACTGGTATACAGTGGGACAGAGTAAATTACTGAGAGTAAAAATCAACATTTAGTAGGGAAAATGGGTTATCAGCTTCCAGACCATTTAGAAATGTCACAGTTCGCTTTGGATCATATTATGAAGAAGTTTCTCAACCATCCAGTTATAGTGTCGGCAGCGCTTCCTCTGAAAACCACACATTTTACAATCAGTAAGACAAAATAATCGTGAACCAACGAAACACCCTGTTGGTGAATGAGATGAGTAGACAAAATAAATGGCTGGGAAAAAGAACGATGGTGATGGACGGACGGTTATAGATAACTGGATTGAATAGTTTGGTAAAATTCTTGATGACCGTAGTGAAGCTGGATTACAGATGTCGATTGGAGTCTTAGCTAAACCGATAGAAATTCAACAGGATAAAATGACTTATCCTGAAACAATCTTGATGTTACCAATTTTAATGTCAGGATCACTTGGCTGACGGGATACTAACAATCACTAGCTGTTCCTACTGTTAAATGTCTCTTCGAATTCTCATTGGGTGCAATACTCTCTTGATTCTACAGTATTTTATAAACGGGAAACTCAAATTAAACCATCACGAAGAAAAGATTTCAGCGTTCATTCTTTTAACTGACTTGGTGGTGGCTATCAGTATGGAATTCAGGACACCCATTTCGTCCTGCTGGGGGTTCGTCTGCTGTATGTATCTACACCCAAGCGAATGATGCTGTTCCCAATGATACTAGAACCAATTACTCTTCCTTTCAAACCCCACAGTGTAAACCACTAGGCCACTGTAGAAAAGGCTTGCTTGAAATGCAAAATTTAAGACTGGTGAACAAGGCCGCGGAAAATAAAAGCAGTCGTTTGAACTAGCTTTTTACTGTGTCCAATAGTTATTCATTCTTCTTCATCTTATTATTATTACTATTCTTATTGTTATTAATATTAACTATTCCTTAGAATAGTTCAGTTCCATGACCTTGACCTGAGAAATGACCATGATTCCATTAGCCTGACAATTCAAATCAATTAAGTCAAAACATTAGCTGTGACTAACAGTCTGTTCCATTGACCATGGAAACTACAATGAAACTTCAAACACCTGTCAACTCATTATACAGTAAACAGTGTAGTTTTAACAATGGAATATGTAAGACTACTACTACTACTACTACGGTGTCAATATTGACTGTAGTCTATCCATCAATCCAGGCATGTGGGCAAAAACTCAAAGCAACTAACATTTAACACATACATACACACACACAGAGACTTTTTGGAATGCAATTTAAGTGGACATGACCACGAGTACACTAGTCAACGGCATGTCTAGTCATAAGAACCTCAAGTGGAGGACAATTTGAAAAGGTTTCATCTTCGACTAGTTTCACTTGTGATAACCCTGACTTCAAGTGATGCGATATCCCTAAATGTAGAGGCGTTTCACTAAAGCGACAAATGAAACTGTTAAAATCATAAATGGGTGACCACTAGAAATCACTAGAAATCCAAACTGTGAGTCAATTTTGTTTAGACTCACTACCCCATAAATCGTCATTCACCCACTGGTTTGTATTGTAAACCACATTTGACAAGCTATCATGTGTGTAGTGCTAGAAAAAATGATGCGAAACTTCACATAGTACAGTACTTACCAGTTTACTGAAGTAGAACTGGCTGGAATGATCAATTTCAATCCCTTAGCATCGCCTGTATGTAGAACGATAACTTTTAATGTCATAGTGAGATTTGATGGGATTTCCTGTCACCTTTTGCCTACCATTCACCTTCTCTGATGGTAGATAATCTCCAACTTGGTATTTGTTCTCTTCGATGTCGGTCAACTGGAGGCTACTACAAGAATGATATTCACAGGATCTGGTCTTATCAGAATGATCAGTTTCGATGAGTGGAGTGGAATTGTTGTTAGAATGACTGTCCAGACTTTTAGAACGATGTCTCAATGAGGTGTGGCTCTCTCGATCAGTCTTCAGTGGTGTGTGAGTTTTCGACAACTGATCTTTAATCTTTCCGTTATTACTTCCTCTTATAATCTTTGGTTGCCATAGTGCAAATAACGTCTGAGTGCGATTGTTAGATGTAGTATGTATAGCCTCACTGGTTAGTGGAATAGACTGGTCAAGTTGGGAGGTGTTGGCCGTTGCACTTCTGTATGATTCAGGATGCATCCCATTACTGTGACATCTGTGAATTGCACCTATCCGGTGTAGAGTTCGTGAATTTGTAGATGGGTGTTCCTCAGTTGAATTATCTGTGACACATTGTTTGTGGTCATTCAGTGCTCCATCTGATCGATGACAATGTTGGCGATAAAATGGTGGTACATATTCATTCCTCAAGTCGATTACTTGCCACTTCCAAGTAGATTGTCCAGTTTCTACTTGACTCAACTTGTCCAACTGATCCAAGTCAATGCTGTATTCATCTTGAAATCTGAGTACACTTCTCAAGCATGCTTGGTAGGCTTCTGTTTCTGGTGTTTTACTCTTTGTCTGACTGTTTACTAGTCTGTCTGAGAAGAGTTTACGTGCAGGAGTGTTTCCAGAGTCTAAATTATCCGTTAGCATGTTGCTTCAGTTGAAAACAGTGAAATAAACAATGAAAAGCGGCACGGTAGTGCCTGGATTTTATTTCTGCATAGAACTGGTCGCGTGTCTTACTTCTGGAAATTGTCGAGGTGAAAATTTGTGGCATGCGACCTGAGACTGACCAATCAACCTTACAAAAAGAAGGGTGGTCATTGTGAGTGGGTGTGGGCAGAAGGTGGATAGGAAAATCTTGCGACTGATCGACCAATGGGTGAATTATTAGGGGAGGAGATGATGGGAGGTTGGAGTGGAATAACCGAGTACTCGTCCAATTGGCAGACAATTACTTCAACTTCAATAGATGAATACCTTTTCTTTATATGATTTCTTTTCAAAGGAAAGATGATGGGTGAAGAGAGCTACAAAAGGCTGATGAAAACTGAAGATAATGAGGAAAGCAAGTGATAGAATAAATCATTGTTGTCTATCTTGGGTGTATGAAAAATTATTAGATAATGGCTATGGTAACTTGTTGATAGATATGGAATTTAATTATTCCGATTGTTTTATTAGGATTTTTCAATTCCTCTTGATATCACTTTGCAAAAGAGTAGAATAGCCAAGAAAATTAGTTTTCGATAGGAGACTTGTCTGCCACAAGTTACCTGATGTATTTGGTCGAATTTCATGGAAGATTGAAGGTTTCCTGACCAACAATGAACAGGATGGTTTGAAAAACTTGGGCATTGATTTAATGCAACGATGCAACTGTAAAGGTCACCACCTTGTGTACCAAACTTGAATATTAACCTGAAAACTTAATGTCAGATTCATACTCTTGAATAGGATCTTCCTAACAAGGTCGAGACTTTGAGGAATAATAAAAAATATTTGTTTATTTTGCTATCTGTTCAAATATACTACGTCGGGATTACACAAGTAAAAATGCACCTTATACAATGTCTCATGGAAGATGTTCATGTGTACACTTGTAATAATTGTTATCACTTTAACTACTTCAGACAGCCGTGATTGGCAGACTAATACTGATTGAGAGTGAAATGAAATGTAGGCTGCGTCAGGATTCAATCACCTAGTTTGCGGCCTGGATCTCTACCATACGAACTACAATATCCCACTTCTTACCAGATTTTGATTTCACTTCAATCACCAAGAGTTTTATCCGACTGCCATGTGAATTCGTGACGCGTTACTATCGCCTGACCATACTCACACTGGTTGCCGGGAAAAACCATTGATGACTGAAGTGAAATGGAAATCTGGTTAGCAGTCCGGTCTCCCAGCTCAGCTGGTAGAGCACATGGTCGGAAACCAGATGTTCGAATCTTGCCTTGGTTCAGTCTAATAATTTTTCTTAAATGATGCAAAATGCCACTGTTCTAATGATGTAGACTGAATTTTGCGCGTACAGACATTTTCGTAGGTGATTGATATTATAATAGATGAAAGACATTTCACATTCCCGAGTCATAAATTTCTTAACGAAATAACATCCATTCAGAATCAAACTGTCATATTTCCTAAAGATACTACTACTGAACAACTTCATTACTTGGAAACCAACTAGGCTGAACTGTAGATTTCGCCAGCCAGCTCAGAGTGAACAAAACCCCTGGTGGTCATGTCGTTGGTTCGTGGGTGACCTCGTCAGCCGCGCATCCAGGCCAATTCAATTCATCGAGACGAATTAGTGGAATCTGATTAGCTGGCTTGCATGGACTGGTATACCTAAAATAAGATGGTAATTTTGCAAATGCTTCACAAATTGTTCACTAGTGTTATTTTTTCTAGTTCATGATACTTTTGCTTGAGTGATCACACCTTACCATCTTGACCGAATGCTTAGTTTACAGAGGAAACCTTGTTGACACCTTAAATGGTCAGTTGAAGAAAACTAATCAGCTTTGAGAAATGTCAATGTGAGCTGTACAATTTCTAAATCATTTGCAAACTGATCTTTCTATTTTATGCCAGGCTGTTCATTGAGTAACAAACAGTAAGCCAGGTCGACTCGCTTCTTGATCTTCACTTCTTCTTGTTTGCTGATGCACTGGTAGCAGTTAGAAAATCACTGAGATCTTGGGACCATTCGGTAGCTGTTTACTCTCAGTTCATAGTAGAAAGTATATCCAGCTTGACAGACTTCACCAGATTATTCGTTTCATGGTAGGTTAATAACGAAACATGAGCATTCAAAACCTGATATCTGGTGGAATTATGGATGCGTACTTCTGCGTCTTCGCATACTCCGATGAAAAACTTGTCCAACTCTACCAAGTTTTCTCTGGTTCTCCAGATAAGTTCAAACCCTCAGTTATCCAAAAGCCTATTTCTTTAATTGCTTAATTTCTTTCATTTAACAAGTACATACCTGTGTGTGTTGTCTTCGATTGTTTTTACTTGAGGAATGTTGTATTCTAAGTTTCTATCTGAGGTGGTTGCCCTAGTTGAGATGTGGCCCAGTGGTTTAGGGAGATGGCTATCAACCAATAGGACATAGGTTCGGACCCGGTCCCACCTTCCGAGTTCTGAATAGCCAGATAGTACAACAACCTAGGTGTGTCTCACTACCTACTGCACTGAGTGCAAAAGGTAGCAGAGTGCCTTTTGTTTCGTGGCTGTTTTATGTAGCCTATAGCTGGGGGCAAATTATTAAATGGGAATAATTCACTTACTGCTATGCTCATATGTATGCGTGCAAAGCTATGCAAATTATGTTTCACCTCAGTCTGATGAAGATTCGCATTTATTCTATTCGTCCTCTCCATCCCCTCACATGACGTCAATCCTTCTCCTATTTTCTGAAGTATACTCTCCCATACTCTTCACAAACTTCTTGTGATACCAAATGGGTGCTTAGCAAAGTATGAAAACAGTAACGATAATTACCACAGCTAACTATTGTGACACTGTAGCAACAATTTCCTTCTATTTGGACTTGGTAACTTGTTTCCATTCCTGTCTCCTCTTCAACAAATTGTTCCCAACTGAACCATTTCCTATCTACCGTTAGATCCTAGTCATCCGTGAACAGTTCAGTGGTTAATTCTTCAAAATATCAGACTATGAACTTTAATTTCATACACTAGCATAACCTAGTTAAACTCCTTACGTCCCATAATTCCTGTCCTATTGATGGCTGTGTATTACACAACGACACAGGTGTGATTTATTTCAGTGTATTTTTCTTTGAACTTTTCCTAATCCTCCCATATTTTACTAACTTCCAGAAGAACCTTCCGTCTAACTTTTTATATAAGGAAGCTGAGAGCATCTGGTATATCTCAGCCTCTTCTCGTGTGTCTCATAAACTCCTGCATCTTACCTATTCTCATATACTGTTCCCTTTATTGTTTCCTCATTTGCTGAAAAAAGACTATACTGTATTGCATAGAACTTTGAAGATTGTCAACAGAACTAGTGGTGTATCTCTCAACCTTCTCACTGAAACTCGTGCGAACAAACATCTTAACTCATGTACACATCTAGCAAGAGTTATTTTGTCAGATGATCAGCATCCTCTTCACTCAAAGTTCTCTGTCTGTCACTCATCAGTCAAGACCATGAACAAGTATACAGAACTTTATCCACGGACTACTAAAGACAAAAACTTGAGGGTATTTACATAGGCTCTTGTGGGAGGAAGAAACTGTTGGAAATGTAGTAACTAGTCAACTTTTGTTTTTGAAAGTAAACTGATTAAAGAGTACAAAGTTTGATGTTATTTTTGTATTATGAATCTAACAGCTACTATGACTATTTCCCTAAGTTAAGTCTACATTTTCGAGAAAGTTGTAGATGGAGTAAATGTAATTTTTACTAATTCCATTTTATTCTATAAACATATACATTATTTCTGACCAATTGATACAATATGGCATGGTGAGAATTCTGTACAGCGTTGCCGAAATATCTTTCAGAATAACACCATTATTATTATTATTATTATTATTATTATTATTATTATTATTATTATTATTATTATTTGACTATCTGAGATATCCGTGGTTTGGCAGACTAGTATTTGCATTGGGTAATGATTGAAGGTGAGATGAGAATCTGGACCACAGCCGGATCCGAACCTGCGACGACCAAGTAGAGAATAGCACCGGAAACCCGGTGGCCACTGGTTCGAATCCGACTGTGGTCCAAATTCTCATCTCACCTTCAGTCATCACCTAGTATAAATATTGTTATGTTATTTCTCAGCAAAATAAGATTCGTCTACTCATTCTTTATTAGATCTTTCCTCCGAAAACAATATGTTAACTTTCCTAATGGAAATTACTAATCCCTTTCATCTACATGTGTTTATCTCTTCAAGTATGTGAGCGACCTCAAGTGATAAAATCCTCTATGACAGAACTTCCTTGACCAGGAAGCATTTCAGTCAGTTGGACTACAATGAGTCGCACTTAATTATCTTGGAATATTTGGCAAGTTTTTATCTGTGTCGGATATCGTCAACTGAAAATATCATTCTCCAGACTAGTTACTACTGTTGTGCTGCATTTTATCGCATCAAATCAGATAACCACCTACACACCACATAAATATAGAAATATTGTAACCATAACGCTTGCAAACTGACAGATGCAATGTTGTGTAACCAATACCAACACAAGTTAGTTTCCCAAGCCGTCACTCACAGCATGAGGTCGAGTTCCTTACAGATGGTGAGAGCGAACCAAATACCATATATTCTTAGTTGTGATAGAACTTTACAGAATATACGTTATGTTCACTACTTGACAGACAAGCACCTAATAGAAAAAGTCTTTAAATTGACTATGACTAAGGATACTTCCTGTACTTAGTTGATTCCAAGGTGGAGAGAATGTAAGATTATATGTCTCATCAGTGGGTATAACCAAGTGTGAAGAAAAAATCAACCTAAGCAGTTCATTTGCATTTCCAAGACTCAAGTATGAACTACAAATTCCTTGTCCCTGATAAGTGATTAGACGAATACTGACATCCACATACATCTGATGCATTAATAGTGGTATGGTAGAGAA